GTTTTTGCCTCCGATGAGACCCTTTCCGGCCTCCGTTTAATGCAATTTTTATATCACTGTAATCACCATTCTTTTCTCTACAGGTTGATCGGAGCCGAATCACCAAAACACGAACTTCACCGAAGAGCCGCCGCACCCGAGAGCACTGCCGCCGGTAAGCTTCGGTTTTCCGTAAATTTTTGGCCCCCCGAGGGCCCTAGAGTTGTTTAATCGCAAGGATCGATACAAGTGTAGCCGAATTCGGCCGGAAACGGCCGAAAACGGCCAAACCGAGGCGAATCGCCGCCGTGCCAGAATTGCGATATTGGCCAAAAAGGGGCCTTGGGCCTAATTTGGGATTTTTTGGAACACGTGCAGGTACTAGTAGTGCGTTTCAGTTCCCCAGGAAAAATTCAGGGAAAATTAGGGACAGCCTGTAGGCGCACTGTGAAGCCGTGTTCGGACCACGAAACGAGTAAGGACCCCTCACCCTATTTCCTATCACGGTATTAAAGTTCAATAAATGATAAAACGGTATTTCATGAATCAACGAATGTATGAAATTGCTTAAGGTCGCTAATGGAGCCCGAGTCTAGTGTGGTTGTCGGTTAATTGTTATTTGCCATGTTTTACAGTTTAAAAGCAGTATGAGGTTTGATGTTTTTATTTTATAGTTTCGTGTGCATATTCTACTGTTTTACCGATTATGGATTGAATGACTGGGATATTGATGCTGTATGTTTGTCTGTTTGGCATAAATTACTGTTTTGCTTGTTTGTATGTGGATTGATGATGCTGACTGAGGGAAAAGAGAATGAAGATTATGTAAATGGGTAATTGTTATAATGTGGTCAGCCTGACTAGATATCCTGGGAGATAGTGGACGGACCGGGTCCGTAGGGAACCCTACCGGGATTATGGTCTCCCATACCGGACGGGGTATGGAGATCTTATGTGTTTTGGCGCCCATATCGGACGGGGTATGGGGACGACCCGTTTCACCCTCATACCGGATGGGGTAATGAGGTTTATAGTTTTGGCGCCCATACCAGACGGGGTATGGGGACGGCCCTGGAATATGATTTCAAGTGTTAAGAGTTAACGGGTAGCGGGACCCCTATGGATCCCCATGGATACTAGTGGGCTGGTAAAAGATGAAAAAAATATGTTGTGTAACGATTGAATTACAAAAGGCTTGATAAGTATTATGTTATACAGTTCATATATGATTTCATGATGATGATAATGTTATTGCTTTCGTACACTGTTTTATGGATTCCATCGAGGTAAGTGGATGGTGAAGGATTTATTATTGATAAAAGAATTTGTTGTAAATTATGCTCCATTGGTCTTTTTGTATTTTCTACCCACCTTTACCTCCGTGACGGTAAGATATCGTGATGTCTTTACTGGCTAGTGTAGCTCATTCCTTATTTAATCATTTCAGATCAAGAGGACATCGTTCCCGAGCCGGTTCCGCAAGAGGACGACGAAGGGGACGCCTAAAGACTCCATAGTCATATTCGTAGCTTTTACTTTCAAGTTTCTCCTTTAGGTAGTTTGATCTTTTATATTTTGTGAGCACGTTTTTGGTTTTAGTGTAAGGGATGTTATTCGAATTTTGACTTCGCTTCCGCATTTGATATTTTTAATATACATTTCATTTTAAATTTCCGGGGCTGTTACATCATATTTTTACTGATATTCTTGTTCACTATCTCAAATCTGTTTACTATTAATCAATACCCCTTAAAACATAGTTTTCTTTTCAAATATTCAAATTTAACATCGAGATCCTGATTTTACATTCAGTTCTAAATTTTCTAGCTGTGTTCGGGCACACTTATTATTTTTAGAGCTTCAAGTTTGTTTCAGGTTTCATTGCAATAATCTACTCGCGTTTCAACTTAAATTTATGAGTCTATATTTATTTTTATGTTGTTTTTGTATGTTACTAATTCGTTTTAATATTTTTTTTGAAAATATCTTTCTCGTATTAAACCTGTGGTTGAGCACGAAAGCATAAGATTCAGTTTAGATTTTTTTTTTTTACTACTGAATGTTTAATGATGTTTAATAAATGACATTGTATAACTATTATATAACTTTTAGTTAAATCGTGTGTTTGTATTTATTTTTATTAAAAATTTGTATTATATTTTATCTATATATACTCTAACCAATTGGATGTATAAATTAAAAAAAAAAATCGAGAGAAAATTTTTAAAATGATATTTTTCTTTTGGTGCTTTGAAGCAAGTTCACAAGACACGGTTTGAGGTTATCAATATAATAAGAATTGGTTACACAAAATTTTTATATTTTTTAATTACAAAAAGTTTTATGATTACTTAAATTTATGAAAACTTAATTGTTACATTATATTTTTTTCATCTAAAAACTGTTCACTGTTCACTGCGAATTAATCTAATTTAGTTACTACAGTTTCACCAACACACTAATAAAAAAAAATTTCAAGTTATATTAAATTAAATGTTATGGCCGGGTGCAAGATTCGACACTTGGGTCACTTAAATGTTTATACCATGCATACTTACTTCAATGATTATTAGCTACTTTTGATATGTATATATACAAAAACAATATAAAAATTAGAAACTTGAAAGAAAGTTAATTTCTTATAGTTTTGGCAAATCTTATTCGCTTTTGAATGTCTTCGAACTATTTGGTTCCAAGTGTTATGTTTATTCTTGATTTTTTTAGGTTATTATTAGTTTTAGCTTAAAAATTTATAAACGATAATTAATTAATTAATAATTTTGAAACTTAATTTTTTTAAAATTAAATTTATATAATTATAATTTTAATAAAATTTATTTTATTTTAAAAAATACTAAATATTTTATAAAATTTTATTCCTATTACTAATATAAAATTTTATCTATCTTTTAGAAATCAGAGAGTTGGATCGACGAAGATATCTTTTAAATGACGCTTAGTTTTGGGTATGATATGTTATGTTATTTATTTATTTAAAAAAAAATTAAAAATTTATGTGTTTTAAAATATATATTTTTTATAATGTGCCGAAAAATAAAAAATAAAAAACCTTTGAAACGAGGATATGTAAATTATGGTCCCCTCCAATTTTATATGTTAAATTGGGTCTGAATATTTAATTTTTTTAAAAAATTTTATTAATGAATGTACGAAAAATATATTAAAAATATTTATTATATTATATGCTTATCTATTTAAATATTTAATTGTAATTGGAAATTGCCGTCTACGGTTTGAGGCCCAAAATCTATGGACTTATTTGCCATTTTCAAAAAAGTACAGGGTAGTATCGTCTTTGCAGCTCTGACCCCACTGCTCTCTGCCTCAACTTCCCAAACCCTTTAAAAGACCAGAAAAGCGGGAGATGTCGATAAAGGCGCAATCACATAGAGAGAGAAACATGGAGAAATGCAGAGTTGAGAGAATTAGCATGTAAGAGAAACAGAGAGAGTGAGACGGAGATCCTTGATAAAGGGAAGAAACAGAGAAAGAGAGTTGAAGGAGAGGTAAGAGGTTTTCCGGGAAAATGACGACTGGTATAATGCAAGACCAGAATCTGGAGAAGGAGATAGGAAAACAGATGGGTTGCATGGCCGGTTTCCTTCATATATTTGATCGCCACCAGATTCTAACCGGAAAGCGCCTCTACGCCACCAAACGCCTCCCTCCTAGTCCTGTAAGTCTCTCATTGCTCTGTTTGGTGCGTTGAGGAATATTTGAAAGTATTTTGTTCGTATGGTATATTATCTGTGTTGTTTGGATTTTTTCTTTTGCTGACGATTGGAACTCTTAGGTCGTAGAATCGTCACCGGAATTAGAGAAAGATAATAGTCCTCCGGCAATGTGTAAAGATTCGGAAAGGCAGCAGCAGAGTAGATCGACGCCTTCCCCCGACCGCTTGAAGACATCTCAGTTGCCTGAACTCCGATATCCGGCGCCGGACGTTTTAAGTCCGGCGGACAATCAGGCGAAACAACTACTCCCTATCCCGATTTTCGACTACAAGGAAGGATCGCGGTCGTCGTGGAAGTTCTCCAAGGAAGCTCCGAGGCTCTCACTCGATAGCAGGGCCATTGTCGATGCCAAGGGAAGTCTCAAGCCTAGAGAGATCCGAACCAGCGCGGCGTTTTTATCGGCCAACCAATGTGAGAGCACTGAAGACGGAGCAGATAACATGGAAAAACAACGCCGATCAACGAGCGTTATCGCGCGGCTCATGGGACTCGAGTCTTTGCCGAGTTCAGATCCCGAACCGGCCAAGAAAGCGGAGCTCCGGAGATCTGCGTCTGAGTCGAGAGCATCCAGAGATCAGTACCGATTCATTGACGGCATTAGTTTTCAAGCGCAACAGTCACTGCAGCAGCAACAACTGAATCGTCAATGCAACATTGCGAGCAGCATGTTTAAAGATAAGGAACTCAACAATAATACCGCAGCTCGAGTTTATAATAGAAGTGGCGTCGGAGGAGCAGTAGATCCAAGGGATTTTGTTTTACGTAGTGCCAGAGCTGAGCCTGCTAAAGTACCGCACAGAGGCATTGTGCAGCGGAAGAATTTCTTCGATTCCGCCGATTTCTTTCCCGAGCCCAAACAAGCAGTATCCTTATATGGTGAGATCGAAAAGAGGCTCAGGATGAGAGGAATCGACGAGCCATCTAAGGATCTTGAGACTCTCAAGCAAATCCTTGAGGCGCTGCAACTCAAAGGACTGCTGCATTCTAAGAAGTCTGCAAGCCATGTCAACGGCAGGAACGTCGCCTACAATCAAAGTTTTTGGCACGAGGAATCTCCAATCGTCGTCATGAGACCAGCGGTTTCGCCGGTTTATGCGAACAGGACAGGGAGATTCGGCAACGATTCGCACAGAAACGGAATTCGCCGGAATGCAAACCTTACCGGACAAGCGTCGCCCGCTATGAGCCCAAGGCGGGAACGGCAGCATATTGACAGGAAGAATCAGAGCCCAAACAGGGGAAGGAATTCGATTTCCCCAACGACGAGTGAGAGCAGCGTGAAGAGTCCCCGTAGGAGGTCATTTAACGTTGAAACACAAAGGAGAACAAATGAGTCAACAGAGCAAAGGAGGATATCTCCGGTACAGTCTCCTAAGGTAGGCATGAGGAGAACCGGAACAGATCAGGTACCAAACCGTTCGCCGAGGAACAAGAAACCAACAGGTGAGATTTACCGCAAGGAGGAGAAAGTGGTGACACCAGCGGAAGATGAGGTATCCATGATTTCCGAAAGCAGTATAAGCACATCTTCTCAAACAGATACAGAGGTACTCTCAATTCCAGACTGTACTTTTGCTTAATCATCAATTAATAACAATGCAAATTATTTAACGACCTAAATTCAGTTAATCATGTTGATTAATGAGTTGCAGAAAACAAAGATGGAGGAATACAAAGAAGGTAGGAATCTACTAGAGAGGTGCGATAAACTGCTGCACAGCATAGCAGAGATAACTTCAACCGAGTTACAGCCAAGTCCAGTCTCAGTGCTTGACTGGTCGTTTTACAAGGAGGAGTCGTCTCCTTCGCCGGTTATGAAACGCAGCATTGATTTCAAAGGTAAATGAAAGATGCTTTAGTTTTTTTCTGGCTATTTTTGACCAAAGAAGGTAAAAAGAAAAGCGAGGAATCAACGTGAGCCGTATGGTACATTCACGTGGGTTTTGGTCATCGTCGGATGTTTGATGACGACGTCGTATTGGTGAAGGGTCCAAAATAGTACCTGCTGAAACTAGAGCTCCAGTCATTTAATAGGTTCTAAATAGGAAAGTGACTGAAAACCTCTTTTCTTTTTTTTGAAAAGTGGTGACGAACGTTCCCTAGAAAACCGTACTGCCTTGCCTATAGGGTTTGAGAGGGGAATGGAATATCCCTCGCTGAACTTCAACTGACAGGTGTCCGTTTCCCCCATCCACCCAACTGACAGATGTCCGTTTCTCCTGCCCTACCATGAGGAAGGCTGAGTTTGCCATTCTCTGGTTTTTTACTTTCCCTTTTTCTGTTACCATGTCAAGGATTTTCTTGTTACTTGTTCTTTTCACTACTCGTACTTCATACGGATCTTCCGTTTATTATCTTCATTTTAACACTGAATTAACCTCTAAAACATGATTATGTAAGTCAATTAATTTGAGTGACTGATGCCGTTAATTTCTGAATAATTCTTAGAGCAACCAATTGAATCGGAAGATGAGATATGGAGTTCAGCAATGTCATCGGCCGAGTCCAAATCAGACGATTGTGATTTCATCTACATCTCTGACGTGCTGAAGGCTTGCAACTACCTACCAGAAGACTCAGATATATTCCTATTACTAGAGAAGCAGCAATATTTGAAAGGAAAAGATACATCCAAGGTGTCAAGTTTGCAGAGACGACTTGTTTTCGATACTATAAGCGAAATCCTTAATCGAAAGAGACAATTGCCGCCATGGAAGGCAGTGTCGGAGATGAGTTTAGCAACAGGAAAGGCAGCATTACAGCAAATTTGGTGCGAATATCGAAGGATCCGAGAGAGAGAAACCAGCGATGACTTGTTCGAAGTCATATGTGGTGTGCTAAAGAAGGACCTCGCAGGGGATGGAATCAACGGGTGGGGAGATTGCCCTATCGAGATGTCGGAAGCTGTCCTCGACCTCGAACGATTAATTTTTAAAGACTTGATCGGCGAAACCATCGGAGATCTCGCAGTGTATGCCGCCAGATTTAATAAAATCTCTGTCTCCCGGAGGAAATTAGTCTTCTGAAAATTGAAAGGTAGCCAGTTTCGAAATTCACCTTCTGGCGCGCTTTCTTTCTTTGGCTCCTTTGCTTTCTGTTTTCTTCTTTATTTTATTCTTATTTTGACCAGACGAACCCCCCCCCCTACTCGAAGAAATCTGGGAAATGTTCTAAGTGTTGAATTACCTAGAATCTAACAATCATCACTTGCTGCAAATATGTAAAAAGGAAAAAAAGTTGGGATAACCACATAATTAAAAAATATCCCCCTACTGGGTATTTTTGGTTTTTACACATATATATAAATACCAACTAGTTACACACACACACACGCATATATATATATATAAATATATTATGTAGAGAAAACTCCAAATGAAGTGTACGGTATAAAGTGGTCCTATTTTTGGTTTTTTGTTTATTAATAGCTATCAATTGTTAATTCAATAATCAAAATGCAGGTGGTAGGGTAGCCAGACTAGAAGTAACAGTAGTAGTAGCACTAAATGACTTGTGTTGACTCTGTATCCTCCCCCTCACCCCTCCTCCTCCTCCTCCTCCCTCTTTTATGAAGCTCTAATGATCAAGTGTCAGGATAATTATATCATTATAATCTGACAGTATATAAATTACTCAGAGTAGTACAACACAGTAATCTTGATTTGAATCTGATACTGAGTTGTTGAAAATTTCCCACATCTTTTACTTCGGATTCGTCTCTGTTTTTCAACTCATTTTCTTCTCTCCCCATTACTACTCTTTTTTTTGCTTCATTTATAACACAACTTCGATCATCAAACCCTCCTCTGAAAATTCTGCACCACCCCAATAATTACCTCACAAAAAAAATACCCTTCAAACCTAAAACCCAAACCCAATTACTAAAAAAAAAAATTAATTTACGCAATACATATAAAAAAGAGTAGCATGTCCTCTCTCAGTAAGTACAAAAGTAGTAGTTACACTATTTACATTTGTGGACCAAATTCAACACTTTTAAGAAGCCTCTTCTTTACTTCTTATATTTTTATATGTCATATAACAAAAAACTAATTTCTTCTTTCCCCAGTATTGTAAGTATCTTGATTTTTCTCTTGCATAAAATTCAAGAGCAACTAGTGAATGTGATTATCGCTACATTCTCATGCGAGACCATGCTATTCGCCATTTGTCACTGTCCTAAAAAATATCTCAAACGAAAAATACTAGTTGGGTTTTCATTTCCCTACCAAATTCTAGGTAAAGGAGATAAAGAGAAAGTTAGAAGTGGGCCTCCGAGTGGGTCAATTTTCATTGTACTTTTTTACATAATAGGGCTTGATGGCCCATACATCCACATGGTTGGGTCCTATTTGTTTCTTTGATTGGTTCATCCTCTACCAACATCAAACATCATGAATGGAGAGGGCTTCT